GCCGCGCTTGGCTGGTGCCCTCACTGAGTGTTTCGTACGCGATTCTGGCATGGACCCGAAAGCCAAATCTTCCAAGTCTCGTTATTATCTTCATTACTGCCTCTTCAGTTGGATCTCGGGTGGGACGTCTTGGTTTCCTCCTTCCCTGCTTCCCCCGCGTAAACAGAAGAAAACTGGTCTGTGAAGCTGCAGCTTAGTAGTATTAAACGCTTTCAGATTCTCAGCTAAAGTAGTACTAGAAAGATAACATGATTATAATTATTAAGATTAAGGCCCTTGAACAAACAGCCTGGCTAATCACAGTGGCTCTTCCCTGCAAGCTCTTTACACGACAGTCGCAAAGGGGATTGATTAGAGGCCTGGTAAATCATTTTCTGCTGACTGGCTTCTCAGTGCAATGCAATAACAAAACAATGGCTTATGCCTGAAACTTACTCCAGTATTCAGCCTGCTGGGTGCTGCTCTGGCTGAATCAATGCTGATTAGTGCACTCAGCAGCAAAACTTTTTGCAGTCCGGAGGCAAAATTCAGAAAAGAATCCCAAATCGGCCCAGTGAGTTGTCTTTGACTGCGCACGAGATTAAGATTTCATGTCTCTTGGTAACTGTGAGATGTTTCTAGATTTTGACTTCTCCTTTTTTGCAGTCAGGACTGAGGAAGTGGCCAATCATTGACTCCGTGACCCTGCAGTTGGTTTGCAGGGGGCCGAAACAGTTAGTCCTCTGTGTTCTCTGTGGTGTGTGTCCAGGATGTCATCACCATGCTGTACCTCTGCTGTGCTGGTAGTCTTTATGGCCCTTGCTGTGGGTGTGGGGGCTGAACAGTCGAAAGAGAGGAGCTGTGATGTGGTTGGTGATGAGAGCAGCGAGTCTCAAATGGAAAGAGCCCTGCTGAAGAAACTGGAACCCCTGAGCCAGATAAGGTACAATACAACACACTGCGGGCCTTGGGCTGTACAGATCTCCAATGTCTGCTGTTCTGAGCCACCTTCTTTGTAATCCTATGGGCTGTCTGTTCTGTCCTCTCCCTGCTGCAGGTTTAACGTGACTGTGGAGGAAGGCAAAACAGAAAACTACGTCTACCATTTCAGGGTGTGCAGGGAGGTCAACAGCACCTTGCATGATTTTGGTGGCCTGGTGCAAACAGATAGACAGAATGGGAAGACCACAGTGATAGGAAGAATCAATGAAACCCAGGTCTTCAATGGAAGTAAGATTCAACTCAACAATTTTCTGAATTAGTATCTGCCTTTCACCTCCTGATCTGGATTTGCAGCCTCCATTGTTTCTCTCTCGGCAGGTGACTGGATCATGTTGATTTATAAAGGAGGTGATTCATATGGAAGGCACTGCAGTGGTGAGAAGAGAAGAGCTGTGATAATGATTTCTTGCAAGCGGGGAGTTACAGCGGTGAGTGACACATGAGGGGGGAGAGGAGCAGGAGGCTGCCAGGCAAACCGTTGTTTATCAGCAGAAGGGCTTTAAGGTTTTCTTCTGTCCTCAAGTGTCTGTTGCCTAGCTGCACCAGCAGTGATAAAGCTATCTTCTGGTAAAGTTCAGCATGCCTGGTCATATTTTCACATGCCTTAACTTTTTCCAAATTGCAGAGTTCATTCAGCATTGTTTTGGAGGAGCGGGAAAAGGAGCAGGACTGTTTCTACCTCTTTGAGATGGACAGCAGTGTGGCTTGTCCAGCTGAGGATTCCCGCCTCAGCGTTGGCTCCATTCTGCTGATCACGTGAGTCATTGGAAGAGCTGTTTGTGTCTGGACCAGAAGCTCTAGCGCCATTTAGAAACATAGCAAATGCTATATTAGACTAGATAATTGTAGTGTGCCTATCCACAGCCACTGTTAGGTGTTACTGTGCCTCTGAGCTTCTTGGACAAAAGCTCTTGCTGAAGGCATGATGCTGCAGAGCTGCTCTGCTCCCTGTAGACATCCTCCTTCACAGTTTAGACAGGTGCAACGAAACATGGAAGACGTGGCTTCCTAAAATTGTACAACAGTTCTTTCCAGAGATGGGAATTCAGACCAGGAGCCTTGACTCATTTTCTGTATTTGATCTGCTGATCAATATTTTGGGGACTGTTTCTGGTCTGGTCTCTGTTTATAGCTCTGTTCAAATGGTGCTCAGCTACTTGCTCCAATACCAATCTGTGGCAGGTAGCTGGCTCAGAAGAAGTTGTCTATAGGATTTCCTCAGCTCTGATTTTTAATTCTGCCCTCCAGGTTTGCTTCGCTGATTGCAGTCTACATCATTGGTGGGTTCCTCTACCAGCGCCTTGTAGTGGGAGCAAAGGGCATGGAACAATTTCCTCACTTTGCCTTCTGGCAAGATGTGGGCAATTTGGTCGCGGTGAGTAAAAATTGCTGTGTATTCCCAGTCTGGCCCATAGGTTAGGACAGGAGAAAATGTCATCTGCCTTGTCTTTGTGGCCTGTGTCCACAAAGGTGTCCAAGGTAGGCAGACCTACCACCGGGGTAGTATACCCCAAGGCAGAAGAAAAGGTTATCTGTTTTGTTTTGGGTTTGGTTTTTTTTTTTTTTTGAGTACTCTATTTTTGAATCCTTGCTGAGTCTGATTCCCTGCTGATATCCTGTGGTTGCTACATAACAAACTAGAACACATGCTTATTAGTGGTTAACACATTCCAGGTGGGAACATTAAGCTGGGTACTGTGGAATGTTCATGTCTGACTCCCTGAGACCCTTCATTGGTCACTGTAGGCGGTGCCATTTATCCTCCACGCTTGTCTCAGCGTGGTGTTGCTGCATACTGTTAATCAGTATGCCCAGAGCTTTCAGAACCAAGTAGGATCTTTGTATGCGTACTTCTCTCATTATGACAAGTTTGGTGACCTGTCCCAGATAGCATGGGGCTGGGCATAATCCCTTAGCTAAAGAGAAATTGCAGAAGCTGCTTTGCTTTGGATTGCATAGTCTAATTCTGGTGCAATGTCCTCTGCTTGTAGGATGGCTGTGACTTTGTCTGCCGATCTAAGCCTCGAAATGCGCCAGCTGCGTACCGTGGCGTGGGTGATGACCAGCTGGGTGAGGAGTCAGAAGAACGGGATGACCATTTGCTACCGATGTGACAGGCTTTCAGCATGGAGTTCTTTTCTCTCCATCTCCCCAGCTGCTTGTTTAGCTGGGTGCCTCCCAGCCAGTTCTCCTTCTCTCACTTCTGATTTTCTTTACACTATTTGCTTTCGCTGTCCCTGGTGTGTCAATTCCCATGGATGCCTCTGGGTGTGAACAGCACTGGTCCCTGAAGGCACGTCTTATGAATATAGTGCTGGTTTAGCTTTTCAAAAATGCAGCAGAGCCGGGGGGGTGGGGTGGAGAAAGTGCTGAGGGCTGAGTAGAAGGCAGCAAGAAAGCAGTATGAGCGTTCAGCACTGAGCAGGAACGGGAGGTCAATCACTGAGAGGAAAAAAGGGCCATGGGTGGGTGCAGAAAGGGGAAGGAAAAATGAGGCAGTGGGTTAAAACAGCTGAGACTGTAGGAGGGATCTTTTGTGGTTTTTTTTTTTTCCTTTTTTCCTGGGGTTTACAGGATCTGTAAGACACTGGAATTATTTTTCTTTGAATGCATCTTCAGCTTTTTGAGCTTCAGCACTGTTATGCGCTGTTTCTGCCAGCATATCCTGCCCAGAGTGCTCTATGCCAGACTCCGGGGGGGTGGAAGAGGCATTAGCACCTCTGCAGTCTTTTCTTTTCCTAATGGCAATATGTTGAAGAGTGCACACTGGCTTCCTTCAACAGATGCAAAGGGATGCATGCCATCCTCTCAGACTGGAGAGGGGGAATGCTACAAAAACCATAGGCGTTAAGTACAGTCTTGTGACTTTCCAGTTCATTCAAAATATTTTTTCAGTCTTCTCAATCATTGAGAAGCAAAAGCTGCTAAGTAAAGGGAACATTTGCTGAAACAGAAACTGACATCAAGGCAAAACGAGACAGGTAGCTGTCACTTGAGTTCGATTACAAGCTTCCCCAGGTGACTGCCCACACAGCTCAGTCACCGTCAGTGTTGTGATTTTGCACTTTCCAAAAGTTCCTTGTTTGGCAGGAGGCTTTCCCGTGAAGCTACCAGAATTTATTTTTATTAAAAAGGGGACCACAGAAGCCAAGGACAAGAATGCTAACATGTTAAAAACCACATAAAGCACTGCTGTGCTTTCAAGGTCAGCTTTCATAAACCACTGTCCCCTTAGGCATGGTGCAGACCTGTCTTAAGATACTTGCCCTGTGCAGCTGGTACTTGCATGCTGCTACTGGCTGGGAGTGAGAGAGACCTTTTCCTGGGGCCCTGGTGAAAAGCAGGTACAGCTGAGTGGTAAGACTTGAGTGGAACCTTCAGGAACTTGGCTTTTTATGTGAGGGGCTAGACTCTGAGCAATCCCATTCTGCCCTGTTGTAGACTGGCAAAGAACTGCCTTCAGTCTTGAGGGCAGAGAATGTGAATAAGCCACTGCTGCTAGTGGCAGAGTACAGACAAGATTCCTGTATTGTTAATATTACCACAGCAGTCTGATTGGTGACATTGAGGGACAAGGGGCAGCCCTGCTTTCTTGCTGGGTTTAGAGTGGGCAAATGGTTCCTGCTTTCTTTGACTTTTTGTTACAGTCTCGATCTTTCTCACAACATGGGAAAAATAGGAAGTCACTAAGTCTGTTGTTACTGTTTTCATGGTGGTGTTTAAGATAATTTTTTTTGTATAAAACAACTTTCAAAAATAAAATGACCAGAAAACCTGGTGAAGTGTGCTGATGTACAGGAGCTTTCTTTGGTGCCAGAGCATCTTATCCAAGGGTAAAGGGGCCCTGAACTACTTCTGCCAGGAATGGATCTCTTGTTAGTACATGTTTTTTGCTGCCGCCTTGCATTGCTCATTTCCTTAGGGCTTGGGAGGGAGGGGTACATATACACATCTTTTAACTACTGGAGCTTTTAAAGTTTCAGTTATTATAGATGGGAAAAGTTTCCTATGCCTTATATTTCTCTGCAGCAATAAAAGGTAACTTTTCGGTGAAGGTTGTACTTCTCAAACACTAGGTTAACATTCAGGTTTGGGGTGGGGTGGTTAAAAAGCAGCCAGACCAGCAAAGCCTGAACAAGCATTTTTTATTAAGAACGTTGAACATGAAATGAAGAAGTGAAACCTTCCCATTTGACTGAAATAAAATCTGGTCCTCAGAAGTAGCTAGTAACATAGGCAGGTGAGCTGCCTGCCTACCCTGCCAAGGGCCAAACTAAACAGGAGTTTTATCACACCCAGCCTGCTAAGGATAAAATGGTGTAAGAGCAGCCCTCCTCTGCTGACTGCAGTTAGAGGTTCTAACCTCCCCCTTCTCTTCCCTCAAATTACATCAGACCAAATAGTGTTATCAGGGTACAAGCATGGGCAGCTTCCTTGGAGCCTCAGAAGGCTTCTCTTGCAGGAACAAGGATGTCATTAAAGGGAGATTCAACAGTAAAGACAAGGAAGCTGCTACCTTTTTTTTATCTGTCTTCTAAACTTTCCCTCCATCTTTTTCTAACATGGGTCAATAAAGAGCCCATCCCAAAGATCTCTAATGTTTTCCTACCTATGGTATTAGGCCTCTTCCCTTGTCGCTACAGGTTTCCTGCAACAGTAGGTGCTTTCCACACAGAACAGTCTTATGTTTCACTCAAATGAAAACAGAAAAGCTGAGACGTGGTTTATAAAAAGCATCTTGCTTTCAGGCATTTGGCTCTAGGGGGCACTTACTTACCTCTTCATGCTTGGTGTAATTTCTTCAGGTTTTTTGCCTGTTAGTTTGAAGCAGAGGTGCTTCTGGAAGAGAACAACTCTGCTCAGGTTTTCACCTTTGGTAATCTGGTTAAAAAACTTCAGAATACCACTTTTGGTCCTTAAAACAAACCTGGAGGGGCTGAAAGGGAGGGACTCAGCCTACAACATAATTCTACCCCTTAGGAAGGAGAAGTAGCATTAAAGGATTAGTATTCAGTTGTTCAGTTGTTGGAGGGTGTGATTTTGTTTTTTTCTTTTAACTGAGGAAGAGAAATACTTGTTTTGTTTTATAACACCAACAAAAAAAAACAAAATAAAAAAAAAAAAACCAAAACAAGGGAGCCTGAGGCAGGCAATACAATCCTGCCAGCTTAAACCTTCTCCCGTAAGCTCTCCTGAGGATAATGAAGACAGACACAAAAATCATACAAACTGATAAGAGAACACAAAAAAGCCCAAAACCCCAGCCCATTTTATGAAGAGCCTTGGCGCTTCTGGAGACTGCTTTGGATCTGTAAATTATGCCCTAGCACAATGGGGAGACAAACCTAGTGCTGCAGGGCTCCCTAATGTAAGACAATCCCCCTCCCCTTTGATTTTCCCGTCACCTTGTCATAAGTACTCAGGATAAATCCTCCTCTGGTTCAGAGAGGACCATCTGGAGCAAATAGCTGCCGCAACACTTTGTCTTCACTCTGCATCTCTGCAGGAGACAGTAAAGCTAATGCAGCTCCTATTGCCACGGGCCTTCAGGTTTGGTATGCATGCTGGAATGGCTATTAAACCCAGTTCATGAATAGCCTAGGTACATATATATATTTTTTTTTTTCTTTAAAGAGTTGAACAGCAGCAGCCCCTTTTGCTCAAGTCCTTGTTTGTCCACCTCTGTCACTTGGAATTTACTCATTCCCCTTCCTAAATACCCCAAGCACTGCTGCTCCCAAAGTCTGTGTGGGGCCGGCTCTTCCTATGCCTCAAGTTCTGGCACAGCGAGATTCAAAACTAAGATCTAGCAGACCTGCTATAGCAAAAAGGGGCAAGGGCAGTTCCCTTCAGAAGTCTGCTAAGACAGAAAGAGGTCCCCTTCCTGTCTTTGTGTAGTATACAGGAGAGGCATATTCAAAATCAGGAAGAAGAAAAGATATTTCAAGGCCCCAGGTGGGAGTTTTCCTCCCCCTTGTAGCACCATTAAGAGACCAAGACATGGACTTGTGCGTGGCAGTTTCAATCAGTTAAATTCCTTCTCATTCTTCTTGAATGCAAGACCACAGGGGACTGTCCCATTCTGCCCCGCCCCAGCAGGATGCTCCAAATCTGGCAGCTGCCCTGGGGTCAGAGCAAAAGTGAGACCTCTGGCTTCAGAGCTGTTAGGTCTCCTTGAGGACATTGATCTTGGCACAGATCTTGAGAGCTGGTCCCAGCTTGATGTTCATGGCACTCATGAGGTGTTCTTCCTTCAGAAGCAACAGGGCCTGGCCATCAATTTCCTGTGACCGAAACTCCTCAGCAATCTCCTGGCACCCTGTGAAACCAAAACCCAGCACTGAGAAACAGACGTGCCCTGGGCGCTCCCCTTGTTCCCACTCTTTGGGTCTCTGGCTGGTTCAGAAAGCAAGCTACAAATCTAACCAATCCCCTTCCACACTCTACTCTGCAGGCTGCCTGAGGAGTACTGCTCATCTGCCTGTATGGCCTATGCCAAATCAGAAACACACACAACAAAAGCACCAGGCACCACTGACACCACTTTCTTTCCAGGAAGAGAGCCAACAAATTTCCCCATGCTACTGGATCACAGAACTGCAGGGGAGGATCTTAACTTCACCTTGCAGTGACGCAATGAACTCATACACTTCCTCCACGCTCCAACGACTGGGATTGGTGGACAGGAAGACTGGGTTAATGCCATGTAGATCTGGGGTAGGTGGGGCCATACTGGAGTTTGACAGGTCCCTCTCTCCATGACCAGCTCTTACTGACAGGGGTCCTGGAGATGTAGGGGACAAAGCTTCATCATAGCTGGAGTTATCAGAGCCTCGACTTGAGTCTTCCTGACCCTACAAAGCCCATAGAAAAGAAAGAAAGAAAGAAAAAAAAAAAAGTTTTGTAAGAAATTCACAATTACAAGGTGCAAAACAAGACACTGGGAACAGCAGAAGTTGTCCCAACAGTCTGGGACAACTGTCTCAGGCTGTTGGTCCAGGGACAGCCAACACAAGAACTCCTTGATGTCAAAAAGGGGAGACTTCGCTCTCGCCTCCCTTCCTCTTCCTTCTCCCCATCCTCCCCCAGTCCATTCCTCTTCCTCACGTCAGCTCTGAAGCTCATTTGATTCTTCTATAATCTGATTCAAATCATTCATGTGGAAGAATGCTAATCAAACAGGCAAAGTGGATTGTTTTCTACCAAGGCTGTCAGCTGATCTCGTTCACTGAGACCACTGAGACACAGGCGGGAGTGAACACAGAACACACAGAACAAGTGCAAATGTGAATCCACTTTTTGCAGTCGATGAGCAATCAGAGCAGCTCACTGTGCCTTGCGTAACAACTGTGTCATTGCGCACTTGGCACATCCCGTACGACTACATCCACTGTGAGAAAGTGATGCAGCCAGCACTGAGATCTGCCTCGACAGAGGCAGGCAGGACTACATCCTTACCCTGTGGCGCTTGCCCTGGATTTTTGTTCGAGCAATTTCAGAACTGCTGCGCCGTGATCCTCGTCGCCGCACACGAGCATAGTTAGCTTCCTGGAATTCCTTCATCTTCTTTCTCTGCAGCCGAAACTGATGGCTGCAGCTGACATTGTACCTCAAATAAGTAAAAGCAGAGCAGCAATTAGGAAACAGCAGCTATCTGAACCTACTGCTTCTCCTCACTCTACAGGGGGATAAAACTCCTCTTTACCATCAAGTTCTGTTCCTCCTCCTTCTAAGACTTCCCCTTGGAAGGAGCCAGTCCAGACTTCTGACACAAGCAATATTTGGACACCAGAGTCTTGATCTAACATCTGAAGGGTCAATTAAGTCATTCCCCTAAGGGAAAAAAGACCCATAACAAGCACTCTGCTATCAATAGGAGGCAGCAATGACAAGCCTTAATTTCTCCCCAGGTTTTTTCCCCAGTGCTCCCTCATGTCTTTGCTAGTACCAGTGCAGCAGACAGCTACCAGTATGCATTTGTTTTGTCACATCAACACACATTTGACTGAAAGAAGTTCTTTGGAGCCTAGTAACTTCCCCCTTCCCATTTCATTTTCTGAGCAAGTCAGAAACCCTGTTTACACTCAACAGCACAGCCACGTCTCCAGACCTAGAAGCATTCACAAATCATTTAGAGTCCTAAAGGATCTCTGTGGCCAGTGCATCCCACGGAGGGAGGATGTTACCTGGAGAAGGGGCACGTGCCCAATTCCAGAGAACATATAGTCAGGGAAAAGGAAGATTATGTCTTGCTGTTACCTTTTAGCACAGGTCATGGAACAAAACCTCTTGGAGCCACGGAACTGGGTTGCTGGGGCATACTTCCCACAGTATTCACACTTCAGCAAGTTTGCCTTCTTATCAAGCTCTAGTGAGATAGAGAGATACACACCAGTTGATGATCTGAACTGAAGCAGATAACACACAATGACTCCCCATTCTACTACTATTCTTCTGAGCAGACAGGTTGCAAGCGCTATTCTCTACTGAATCTACTAAGCTGTTAGCTTGGGTAAGAAGCTGAGGAATAAGAGGCAGAAGCTCCAATAATTAGGACCCCAGGATATTGAACAGAGCAGTTTATTTTTCCTTGCCAGTACCATTTTGCTGAATAAGCAAAAAATAGCATATGCCTCATGTCCTACAAGGCTGTGGGGGAAATCTCCATCACTGTAC